GCCGCAAACCACAAAACGCGCAAAACCATCATTTAAATAGGGCGTCTCCAACAGTTTTGCACCTGCCACCAGCTACGCAATCGCTCTTGTTAAATCACCCGCAAACCATGGTTCTGCCCCTCGCGCAAAATTCCAGTTTGCGAGCGCAAATTACTGCACGCAAAATTGGATCTTGATAAATCCGGCCCTTAAAGCTGCAGTAGAGATCTTTTCTGACGCATTTTTTACCATGTCGCCTAAAGATCTCCCCACAGCCGCTTAGCAATCAGTGAAATAGAAGGTCTGGATTGAAACTAAAATAAATGGTCAGTGAGAAATCAAGGAATAACCCCAACTAATCACAAAAGATGGTCCAGTCAATCATGGTCGTCTGCTTGTCCCCCCCTGTGCAGGAATTGCTTCAACAATTAATTTCCCTTTGGGAATAATAAACTATTTTTGCTTTGAAAATTATTTAAATTTTCTTTTGGTCTTACTGAGAAACAGAATTAGGTTTTCAAGCAGCTTGTTCTAAAAAGCAATGTTGCAAGAAAAAAAATCTAAACAAATCTCACTTTTTGTATTGTGTAAATACATATGTAAAATCTTTAAATCTGGAAATAAAATAGTATAAAATGTGATTTTTCAGGGATGGATGCATATATTTCCTTGTATCAGATTTATTTACCTGATATAAAAAGAGAGATTTGTTTAAATTTTTTTTCTTGCAACATTTTGTCAGCTTGTATAATGTTATTTCGTACTATATGCAGAAGAAAGAACAATTACAATGACCCCTCCTGATTGAGGACAGAATGTAGCATCTTATTTCTTCAATGTTTCATATGCACACACATTAACTTTATAATCATCACTGAATAAACCTAACACTCACTGTCCTCTTTATTTATCACATATTAATCCAATGCAGGACTTTTTGCAAAAGCAGTATTAAACCAATATGGCCAATGAATTAATCCATTTAGACAAAGCCAAAATGAAAAAGTATCAAAAACAGTTGGTAATGTTCAAAAAGATGAATGACCAACAAATATCACCTTAATGTCAAATTATGGAAATCATAAACAAACAAGGTGTTTTTTGTATCCAGTTATTAGTCTAAATCAACCCATCTGAAAGTAATTTATGAGGTAACAACACTCAGGAAAATGGAATACTTGACTTTAAAATTACCTCCTCGGGTCTATGCATAACAGGAGCCCTAATAAAAAGCTTTCCTTGCAGCTGCTGGTGGACTCTATAATCTCCATTAAGCACAGTGTGTATTTACAAACATGCTACTTATTTGCTGCACATATTCTAGATCTGATCAAGAGTTTATAACCACTGTATGTTAAGAAAGTCAAGGATCTTAATTTGTCATTATACATGCAGGGTACATATCTCATAGAAATTTGGATGAAGAAACATTAGATGCTTGGAATATTTACTGTTTTCAGCCTCTGTAAATAATTTTTTTCTTTTAAAATTGTACTTATTTCAGGTTTACGAACCATTTTCTTTTTTTTTACCTGAATATATCGTTTTCATTTGACTGATCATTTTCACATGATTGTTTCATTTTTTTTCTCCTCTCTTTATGAGGACTTTAAAAAAAAGATTTCTATCGTTCATTAAACATATTATTTTAACCTTCATATTATTAAGGTTTTTGTGCAAGTTTTTTTTTTAATGTATTTTAATTTAATACTAGTTCAGGCATAGCAGTTTCCCTCCTGGGCCATTTATTATAGTTTTGTTGTAATAAAGGAAATAAATGTTTAACAGCTATTTAGTGAAAATGTCAGCGTTCCTGAGCTTTTATATAATGAATCTGATGTTACAAAGTTGGTATTTAAAGCCAGACGATCATTTATTATAAACCTTTGCTTTCCAATCTGGTTCTGTAAGATTTCTGTAACAGTTACAAATTTATCCTTTGGATTTTTTTTTTTTTTAAGTGCTCTGTAACAATTTTCCCATTTTTGAAGACGGTTACAATACAAGATCATCTCTTAATTTATATTCATAGTGACCCTTTGCTAGCGGTTAAAAGAATTATTTCACGTACCCTGTCATCTCCCCCAACAGCTGTAAATGAAAAGACAAAATTGCATGCCTTCTAACACACACAGGCAGTTATGGGATAATTTAGAGCACATCAGAAGCAGCAATAATGTTGAAAAACCTGATACCAATGTTGCATAAGTCACAAATAAGAAATGCTAAAGTCATGGCTAAACACACCATCATGGTTTCTTTGGATAGTATAATCTGAAACAAACATCTTACAAGACAAAAACCGTTCAGCTTTTATATTGTCTTGGATCTGATTTAATTGTTAGGATACAACATCTGTTTTTCAAAAGTAACTTTGGTTACCGTGCTCCTGAAATGGTGTTTTTTTGTAATTCTTTCTTCCTTTATATCAATATTTTATTTTCAAAATCTGCCAAGTTGGACGACCTAAACACATGGAGTCTAGCTGCACTGAAAGTTGGAGTGTTTTTCCTGCATGCCGTTTCCAATTGAAAGTGTTAGCCTCTCTATAACTCATTTACATGGATCCACATACCACAAACAGGAGCGTGACTGCTTGAAGCAGCCCTCCCAGATAGACGAAACTTACCTTTCGGATGCATTCAAGACTGCAGATCTGAGGGGTAATGACTTCAACTGGCCCTTCTGCCCGAGCCCAGAGAGGCTGGGACACTAACAACAGCTGGTACAATGTCAAAACGGACCGCCACATGGTTCTACGGCTGCCACAAAAATATTTGCAAGACCTATCCTCAGAGAATGGCTGCTCCATCTAAAACCTGGTCGCCAAGGACTCCTTTGATACTTCAGAACTTGGGAGGAGGGACAGTGAAAAGGAGTTGAGGGGAGTGGTGTCCCGAGGCCACAGGTGGAGCTGTCAGAGTTTGCAGTGTGTGCCTTAGCAGTTACTGGAAATTCCTGCCCAAGTTAACAAAACATGAGCCTTACAGATCAAACCACTCCTTCCTGCTTCTCAACATGCAACATAAGAACTGCTTGGAAGTAAATGTCTTCAGTATAGGTTTCAATCACAGGCCTTTCAGTGTAAAGTATTTTTTATTCAGCACTGATTTCCTAGGCTAGTTTTTATTTATTTATTTTTTTGAGAACCATGTACAGGATAATACATTGTTATTTACAGGTGTCAATTTGTGTAATTGCAAAAAACAACAGACAACAAAATTAAAAGTTCAATATTCAAATACCAGCTACAGAAACATGGTTTATGGTGAAGGACAGAGATAAATGACAAAGGCTTTGCAACAGCAGTCCAGAGGTAGACGTTGGCAATCACCGGATCTGAAAAATAAAATTGCAGAAAATTTTTTTATGAAAAGAAAGAAAAATGTCTCTTATTAGCTGTGCAGTGAATTGTGTCTGAAGGATATGGTGAAAAATGACTTCCTTTGTTTGTCTACATTCCTGGAACATTCTAAAATAAACACATCATTAATAAACTTCAGAGGGAAAATATCCCACAAGTTACTCTTGTTTCTACATGTCCTAATGGACTCAATTGGCAAAACTGAAGATCTAAGGCTTGTATGGTAATGCTGAGCCATTTACACAAAATAAAAAAAATATGTAAAAATAATCAATCACCATCTAGATTTGACAAAACAATAAGGTTTATTTCCCAAACAGTGGGAAAAGACAGCAGTGATTAATGTGGAACTTTCTGGAGTTTGGTATGGCACATTAAATGGATACCAAAAAAAGAAAAAAAAAATCATGATCATTTCATCATGTATACGAACCCAAAATTTTCAAAGAGCCATATTGAACAAAAACAAACAAAAGACGGATCTGTCAGCAAAAATTTAAAAGGATTAAAAAAAGCCTCCTAAGGGAAGGCTAAAAATGCATAATAAGCATTTATGATTCAATATTTTCCCCGCAGCCTATTCTGGTGAAAATGACTCACCATACAACTAATCTGCTGTACGATATTTGGTTCTCTAAGTTTAACTTCCATTACAGTAGTAATTTATTATGACTTCCTGAATTGATGGAATAATAGAAATACAATAAAAGTATATATATTTTTTGGTTTTATTTTGACGATTTGAAAAAAACTGAATATGCATAATAAGACTGCCGTAAATTCAAACCTCCACTTGGAAATAAAATGCTGTCCTCTTCAAACAACAATAGCAATACACTCCACTTTTTTTCACCCCGTATTGGGGAAACAGTGTATTAAAACACAGCCTGCAACATTAGCGTTTTGATAAAGAAAGTAGGCTATGTAAACGAAAGTAAGCCAGTAACATTTAATTACAGTGCCCCCATCGGTTTGTTTACAACAGCCCTGTGCCGCGCCGAAACGTGTGTCACTGCTATGAAACAAATCTTTGTTGATAGAAATGTTTAAATTTATTGTTTAAATTAATTTATTATACAAATTTTTACATCAACATAAAAAACATAAAGAATGCTTGCTTTTCTTCCTACACGCTATATTAAAAGAAACAACAACAAAAAAATCAATCTTTTTCCATTTTGTTTGCTTTGAATAAGCTCCAGTTAGCTGAGAGGGAGGCGCTAAAGAGCTGCATGTGGCTCTGAAGCCGCGGGTTGCAAAACTCTGCTATAGATCAAATAAATACATGTTTAAAAAAAAAATAACTAAAACCTTTCAACTGTATTAATTAAACAAACAATGACACAGAGCATCAGCCATGGCAGCAAACAGGTGCATCTTTAGATTTCACATCAATCACAAACCAGAGAGAGCTACTATACTCTGATTGCAGCCTATAATCAAGATTTCCTGCCCAAATCATTTGGGAAGGAAAAAAAATACATCCTTCCTTTTGCTTGGATTTTTTTCTTTATGCACCTGGAGTGGACTTTAATGCACTAAAGAATTAAGGAAATTTTACCAAAAGTTTTAATGCATTGATTAATCTGACATTGACAGAAATCTTTAATTATCATTCAGTTTTTTGTTTTGTTTTTGTTTTGCACATGCTTTGGGATTTAAGATGGAGCTCATAATGCTTCTTTTGATTGACTCTATAATGCAGCTGGCTAACATATTTGTAATATTCGCCACATAAATTAGATATTGCACCTTGCCTTCATCTCTTTAAACTAGGATCCTAAGTCGCCCTGTTGTTGCACAGCAAATGGTGTATTTATGCTCCCCCCCAAAAAAAAGGTAATGATGAAACTTTGGTATTTGCCAGTTCAAGATGCATGGTAAATTAATTCTTTAAAAAAAACATTGAATCTACTTGTGCACTTGCGTCCTATGTATGCATGTTGGACCAACAATGTAAATCCGTGAACCTCCTCATCCCTAGTAGCTTAAAACACAACTATTTTATCTAGAAATCACTAATAATTGGTGATATCTAAAGAAGAGGAACATTTATTTGTTAAAATCAATGTTGAACAAATACAATCTTGTATTTGCTTGTGAGCACTATGGCAGACACAGTACTGCTTTTTTCCTGCTTATACATATCTGCACATCGTAAATCACAAAAAAAAAATTATCACTGTGATTAAAAGCTCAGAGAGCAGTTCCTCTTAAGATGATTAAACACCCCTTCAACTCTTCCACATTTGCAACAAAAAACTTCACAGACAGTACTGTCTAATAGTGTCAGACAGTATTGCATGGGTGTGATGTTTCTAAAGAAGTCCACCTGGGTCTCATTTCCTCTTGGTATAAATCCAGCTTGGAATTTTTCTAAGCCCATCTTGCCGTCTTGTTTTGTTAAACAATTATTAAATTCTAGCCAACGTTGAAAAGGTGTCATTAAATGAAGAGACTTGTAATGGCACGTTATGATTTAGACCTATGAGCAGAAACTCACTGGTGGAAAAGTTAACTTTCTAATGGGCTTCATTGCTTTAGTAAAGTTAAATATTTAAATGTCAAAACATTTTGGTTATTCTATAGTCTAACAAGGGTCAAGCACAGACTAACTCTGTGGCCTTGCTTTCCCAGGGGATCCCACTAGTCCTTAGGGAACTTCTCATGACGGACGTGTGGACTGCAAATCAGCTGCATAGTTGTTAGATGGGGTTTATTATCTGACCTAAAATATATTGCCTAAAGGTTCAGGGGTTTTTCTGGATATTTCTAAGTGTTTCCCAGGGGAACATTTGTGAGGCTATAGTTACCCTATGTACAAACCGTCAAATGGTTCATTAGGAATGCCATCATCAAGATGAGGTTAGGTCAAGGTTCGTCACACCCAATCTACCCATGTCATCAAGAACTATGCTATGTGTGCAGGTAGATTTGTAACAGTATGGGGCCAAGCTAAAACTGTTGCTATAAAACTGCAGGCTTGAGAGTTTCTCACTTTCAATCGTGAGAATCTACCCCTCGCAGTTCCTTCTGCTAGAGACATTAGACTTCAAATAGGGCTCTCCTGATCTAAACTGGGCGATTTTATTACCATACAGGCACAATTCAACATTACAGATATGCCATATATATATATATATATATATATATATATATATATATATATATATATATATATATTAGGGCTGCAACAATGAATCCATAAAATCGATAAAAATCGACTTTTAAAAGCGTTGGCAACGAATTTCATCATCGATTAGTTGTGTCGCGCGATTAATGCGTCATCCGCCGCCGCCGCCATCATCACTGCCACTTGACTGAAACGGGGGTAGAAAAAAAAATACGACAGAGGGAGCCAGCGCTGCAGGTGCAGTGTTGGCTCGCTCTGTCGTATTTTTTTGTTTCGTTCGGTTCATGCGCTGCTCCTTTTTCTCATAGGCGAAGCGTTTACACTCCAGAGCCGAAGGTGGCGGTACTCCGACCAAAGCCAACCACCAGTAGTAGACAAGAAGAAGAAGAAGCGAAGCAGCTTAGCCGGGTGTAGCAGGGGAAAAAATCAGTTGTTGTGGAGAATTTTGTCGGAATGGCGAGTGGGAAAGAACAGGAGTTGGAAGATGCGCCAGCAGCCCTTTATAGGTCTGCTGTATGGGACCACTTTGCATTTAGAGTGACCTACGATGACGACGGAAAGAAAGTTGTGGATAAAAGTGCAACAGTGTGCAAGCATTGTGCAACACGTTTTGTTTATGCTAACAGCAACATGACCAACATGTCATGCTAACCCCGAAATCCCTCATACTCCGTCAGCGCTCCGCTCCGCTGCGCTGCGCTCCAGACCGGCTGCACAAAGCAAAGCCTACAGCCTCCACTGTGGCTCCCGTCCGCTGCCCTCTGAGTCCCATGGAGATGGTAGAGAGTGTGCGCGAGATGATTAAATTCAAAGCAGCAAAACATACAGAAATGATTCAGGGTTTCCGCGGATCATTTAAAATAATTACAATCCATTATTTTTTGGGGGATTTTTAAATTAATTTCATAAATTTTTATGAGATTTCGGTGTAACAATCAACATATACCGAATCGAACCGAACACCGTGACCACGAAACCTTGAATCGAACCGAACCGTGGATTTTGTGAACCGTTCCACCCCTAATATATATATATATATACATATATATATGTATGACATCAAAGTTGGATCAGCCTGTGGTGTGTTTTTTCACTTTGTGTGTGTGGCTCCAAATCCAGGCTTCCATTGGTTAATAAATTTGATTTCCATTGATTATTTTAGTCTGAATTTTCTGTCAGCACATTAAACTTTGTACCGAACTAAGTATTTGATGAGAATATTTCATCCATTGGGATCTAGGATGTGCTATTTGAGTGTTCCCTTTTTTGAGCAGTATACACACCCACCCACCCACACAGAGGTATGTCTTCTACCTCAAGTTAGTTTGTATCCATACTATTTTTACCGTTTTTATTCAAGTAAATATTCAATCCAAAGGCCTTCAACCAAATATGTCTTCCTCTAGAGTATGACTACTTCTACTTTCACCTACATTAACCAATGCTTATGTGCTACTCTATTCCCTTTTTGTCATAGCTGTATTCAAAAACAGAGATCCACCCTGCTGCCCTCAGCTCTCCATACATAAAATATCTCTATGTTGCATTAGATAGGGACATAATGATGGTACATGCTGTTTTTAACAGAAGGCACTTTCTACAAATATACTCTCTATCACAGAGGCTTTCAACAGAGGGTCTGCGACCCCTAGGGTGTCCATGGAGGTACTGCACGGGGGTCGCAAACGTTTTGGTTGATTAGACTTTTTTTTTTTATATTCCCCCCTGCAATTATTTAATTGAAATTTGTTTAAATACACATTAACATGAATTCAACACACTGAAGTAAACAGATAAATGGAGGCAGAAGATGTCTTTCAGTCATCAATGCACACATTCAGAGACACACAGGAGCTCTTTTAAGCTGGGGACCGTTTCATTCATAACACCTGTCCCATCAACCAGGAATCAGAAATACTTTAATAATCCCAGGGAGAAATTACTCTCATTACATTACTCCATCTGTAATAGAGTGATTATAGGACCAGTTTGATATAACACAATTTAATACCATTATAAAATCACGACATCAGTTTGGGGGTCCATGGCCTGGAAAACGTTAAAGACCCATCGCTCCATCACTTTATGCCAGTGATCAATCTCTTTCCATTACCAATTGTTGCTATAATGGTAAAAACATTTCTTGTGGGTATTCTTAGTTCATTATTTAATCTGCTGTTTTAACATGTTATGCTATTTCTTACTGATCTGTTGGAGACATTATGACCTCCTTCTCTATGTGTCTCTGCTTCACCACATCACTGTTATTCCCCTCCTCTGAATCCTACTTATTTACAGCTTTTAAACACCGGTGGCACACGTTCTCCAGCTGCCTCACATGTTGAGTGGAACAAAGCCACAATTTTGACCAATTTTGCTGCGTCCACTTCAAGCCGTTCAGCTCCTCTCGCATTTTCCAGAGACAGCCATGAGGTGACCCCAACCTAAGTCACCTAAGGTTTGCTAAAGATGGTCAACAAGGATGGGAGGGGCAGAGAGGCCCGAAAAAGGCTAGATTTTTTTTGTAGAAAAATACCAACAGGATGCGTTTAGGTTTTCACATACTGCCACGTTCGATACATACATACAGCTCTCTAAAAGCTGTTCTAGCTCCTGTAGCTTATCTAGACCCAACATAAAGTTCTGGCGATCTTTACCGGCCCCCTCTGTAGAAGAACATTTACCTCTATGCCTTATGTTCCTCAGAATATGCTGCTGTGGTTAAAAAAAAGCCAACCATTTTTATTAGCCTGTGTGGTAACGAAAGCTCAGAGGAGAGGTTTTGGGATTCCACAAACTAAATCTGGACTCAGACTCTTTGCTGGGGAACCCACCCCCCCTTTGTCAATGCATCATTTGTCCCATGACCATCTGGAAAAAATTTCAGGTTTTACAGACCTTACGAGATTTTTTTTTTCTGAGGGTAATTTATGTTTCCCTTCTAAAAGTGATTAATGTCTTCTGCAAGTTACTCTAATTTATGTCTGTGTTTTATGTTTGGCATACAAGTTATGTTAAGGTTTATTATGAAACAAGAACAAGAGCATAAGTGTTCTTGATTTCTATAACTCAGGGTCTGTCATTCGTTATCTTTTTGTTTTTCCATTTTATCATATCGATATCACCAACAGCTGACAATAAAATATTTAAAAGCAAGGAAATTACTCCCATGAATGTATTGTAAAGAGGCATCCTATTGTAATACAAAGCTGGAAATTGGCCTGCTTCTGAGAAAGACCACTCTTTGACAGATGTTTCTAGAGGTAGCTAACCTTACTATGTGTTGGAATTTATACATCTGTGGCTATTAAAGTCATCTCAGGATTTGGACTTAATGGCTTGGGTTGGTGGGCAGAGACTGTTCCAAAACATTAGTGGGAAATAGATTTCAATCAACATGTGAGTAAAATTGGTAGAGAACGACCCAGAAGAGAATTTTTTTTTTCTTACCGTGTATTTGTCCCATTTCTTTTCTGGATCATAAGGTTCCCAGCGACTGGCAGGAAAGATGTGCTTGTTCTTTTCATACCAGCTTCTTAGCACCACTTTACCTGCATGAGACTTTATCCAGACAGAGACACAGAAGCATGAACAATGATCTTTCATCTTAACCAACTTATCAGTCAGTCAACATTTTCTGCTGAAATTACAATGGAACATAAGCTTTGAGCCTCTGCTTTAAAGCTCTTAATCCCTGTATAAAAAAACTGAGATAATTTGCCAAAAAACATCCTCTAATCAAATGGAGCATTAAGAGTTGTGTCAATAAATGAATGCAACAACAAGTTCCTCAAGCCTGATGAAAAAAAAGAGACAGGCTTCCTAATAGCAACCCACAAAGAGCAGTAATTCTACCAAAATATATATCTACCAGTATATAAGTGTATATAATCATTTTGCATTTAATATAAAAAAAATTTAATCTATCAATGTGCTCTATCTACACAGTAAGTGTTAAAGTAACACTCACTCTGAATTTGTGTGGGACAAAATGTGTTACTTTAATCCTGCAACATTTAGTTTCACCTGGTTTAAATACGTAAGAAGTCTTCTGTAAGGAACACTTGACTATCAGATTAGTAATCGATGAAAAAAAAATGATGGACAGACTAATCGATTTGCAAAATAATCATTAATTGCCACCCAAGTGGAGACCCCTGTAGTAAAGTTGTCACTTCATTGAAACCAGTCGAGAAGATGTTAACTTTTGGACATGCTGCAATATCCCCTCTCACTGGTTTTTTGTAACATGTGGGGGTGTTTACTTTTTATATATGCTACACCATATCTCCTTTCTATGCTAATTAAGCCCACTCCTTTCTCTTGAAAATTTTTCTCCATGTTAGAGGCAATACCCCCTGAATATGCAAACTGTCAAGACTGACTCAGAGATACAACTACAGCCATAGAATTCTGGCCATCCACTGGTGCAGCAATGCTGGAAGTTACTGGTTAGGGAAAAAAAAAAAAAAAAAAAAAAAAACATCTGACCATTGGGAATTTGGGAATCCTTCCAAACTTGGTTACTTCCCCATTGTTTTCAAAGCTGGCTCTCTGTCTGCTTGTGGGGCAGTAGCGTTGGTGTTTATCTGCCTGCAATAGCTCAAAGTGAACCAATGGCAGCATCCAAGGGCATGAGTCACAGCGCTTTTCTTATATATCATTGTTTATGAGGCCACTACTCCGATTAAAACTCAGTGATTCAGCCTGATTAAGTGTATTTTTTTAAACACCAAACTTATGGAAAATCTGACCAAGAGGCAGTAAAAACAAAATAAATAAAATAGGACCTAGAATTGAGCCTTGGGGAACGCCATACTTTAAAGGTTTGGCCTCAGAACAGCATTGGTCAAGATGAACTGAAAAAGTTCTCTTTTCTAAATACGATTTAAACCATTCAAATACTGGGCCTCTCAGGCCAACATAATGTTTTAATCTGTGTAAAATAATCTGATGATCTACAGTGTCAAATGCAGCACTCAGATCTAAAAGTAATAAAACTGCAACTGTTAAAAGATCATTGTACACTTGAAGCAAAGCTGTTTCAGCGCTATGTGCAGCTTTAAACACAGACTGAAATTTCTCAGTTACATTATTGTCTTTTAAAAGCATCTCAAATTGATTAAGAACTAATTTTTCCAAAACCTTGGATAAAAAAGGGAGTTGGAAATTGGCCTAAAAGTTGCTAGTACGCTTTAGTCTAGATTGGGTTTTTTAAGAAGGGGTTTAACCACAGCATGTTTAAGTATTGATGGGACACGACCTGACTGGCATTTATCACAATTAAAATAAAATGGCTGGAAGTGACAAAAATTTAATTTATCAGACCAGCAGGAAGACAATCCAAAGAATAATTTGATGGCCGCAGATGCTTAATAACTGAAGTCAGTTAATCTAAAGAAACTGTCTGAAAATGATCCACAACAGCTGTGCATTGTGGCATTTCTTGGGAGTCTAAATCTAAAACGGTATTCGAGTCTCTAAGAGCTACAATTTTTTCTGTGAAAAACTCAGAAAAAGCCTCACAAAGTTCAACAGAGGCCACAGGGCCAGGTCTAATCAAGGGATTAACAATCCTATCCAGGACACTAAAAAGGACTTGAGGCCTATGCTTATTTGAAGCTACAAGATTGGTGAAATATTTAGATTTTTTAGATAAAAAAACAAAAAACAAAAAAAATGTTATACTGAAAAAAGATGGACTAAAGAGAACAAAACTTGTACTCGTACTCATCGTCGTCTCCTGCTTTATCCGGAACCGGGTCGCGGGGGCAGCAGACTAAGCAGAGACTCCCAGACTTCCTTCTCCGCTGACACCTCCTCCAGCTGTGTTGTGGGAAGCCCTAGGCACTCCCAGGCCAGCCGAGAGACATAGTCTCTCCAGCATGTCCTGGGTCGTCCCCTGGGCCTCCTCCTGCTGGGACGTGCCTGGAACACCTCCCGAGGGAAGCGTCCAGGGGGCATCCGAAGAAGATGTCCAAGCCACCTCAACTGACTCCTCTCGATGTGGAGGAGAACCGGCTCTACACTGAGCCTCTCCCGAATGACCAAGCTCCTCACCCTATCGCTAAGGAGATACCAGCCACCCTACGGAGAAAGCTCATTTCAGCCGCTTGTATCCGGTATCTCGTTCTTTCGGTCATGAGCCAGATTTCATGACCATAGGTGAGGGTAGGAACATAGACCGAACGGTAAATTGAGAGCTTTGCCTTTTCGCTCAGCTCTCTCTTCACCACGACAGACCGGTGCAGCATCCGCATTATTGCAGCAGCCGCACCGATCCGTCTATCGATCTCCCGCTCCATTCTTCCCTCACTCGTGAACAGGACCCCAAGATACTTGAACTCCTCCACTTGAGGCAGGGACTCTCCTCCAACCTGAAGGGGACAAGCCACCTTTTTCCGGTCGAGAACCATGGCCTCAGATTTGGAGGAGCTGATTCTCATCCCGGCTGCTTCACACTTGGCTGCGAACCGCCCCAGCGCACGCTGTAGGTCTTGGCAGGAGGGAGCCAGCAGAATTACGTCATCCGCAAAAAGCAGGGACGAGATCCGCTGTTCCCCAAACCAGACTCCCTCCGGTCTTTGGCTGTGCCTAGAAATCCTGTCCATAAGAGTTATGAACAGGACCGGTGACAGAGGGCAGCCCTGTCGGAGTCCAACATGCACTGGGAACAGGTCCGACTTAATGCCGGCAATACGAACCAGACTCCTGCTCCGCTTGTACAGGGAACGGATGGCCCCTAATAAAGGGCCCCCGACTCCATACTCCTGGAGCACCCCCCACAGGGCAGCACGAGGGACACGGTCGAATGCCTTCTCCAAGTCCACAAAACACATGCGGACTGGTTGGGCAAACTCCCAAGAACCCTCAAGTACCCTGCAGAGGGTGTAGAGCTGGTCCACGGTTCCACGGCCAGGACGAAAACCACACTGCTCCTCCTGCAGCCGAGGTTCGACAATCAGCCGGACTCTCCTCTCCAGCACCCTGGCATAGGCCTTTCCGGGGAGGCTTAGAAGTGTGATTCCCCGATAGTTGGAACACACCCTCCGGTCCCCCTTCTTGTGGAGGGGAACCACCACCCCAGTCTGCCAATCCAGGGGGACTGTCCCCGACCTCCACGCGATGTTGAAGAGACGTGTCAACCATGACAGCCCGACAACATCCAGAGCTCTAAGATACTCAGGACGGATCTCGTCCACCCCCGAAAGCCTTGCCACCGTGGAGTTTTTTGACCACCTCAGTGACAAGTTCGATAGGACTCCTTCTTCAGCTTGACAGCATCCCTTACTATCGGTGTCCGCCACTGGGTTCGGGGATTGCCACCACGACAGGCACCGCAAACCTTACGGCCACAGCTATGGGCAGCTGCATCGACAATAGAGGCAGAGAACACAGCCTATTAGGACTCCATGTCTCCAACCTCCCCCGGCACCTGAGAGAAGCTCTCCCGGAGGTGGGATCGCCTGGTGGTCGGGTTCTTCCTCGCGGGACCCGACCGGGCCCAGCCCGAAGGAGCGACGCGAGGCCATCCCCCAGTGGGCCCACCACCTGCAGGGGGTACCATGAGGGACCGATGCAAAGGGGATTGGGCGGCAGCCAGAGGCGGAGACCTCGGCGACCTGATCCGCGGGCGCTTAAACTGGCTCTGGGGACGTGGAATGTCACCTCACTGGCGGGGAAGGAGCCAGAGCTTGTACGGGAGGTGGAAATACCACCTAGAAATAGTTGGGCTCGCCTCCACACACAGTCAGGGCTCTGGAACCCAGCTCCTTGAGAGAGGCTGGACTCTCTTCTACTCTGGAGTGACTCGCGGAGAGAGGTGGAGGGCGGGGATGGGGCTGCTTTTCTCCCCCCAGCTCAGCTGTCTCGTGTTGGAGTTTACTCCGGTAGACGAGAGGGTCGCATCCCTTCGCCTTCGGGTTGAAGGGAGGACTCTGACAGTTGTTTCGGCCTATGGGCCGAACGGCAGTACGGAGTACCAGGCCCTCTTAGCATCCCTGGGGAGGGTCTTAGAAACTGCCCCTCCAGGGGATTCCATCATTCTGCTGGGAGACTTCAACGCCCACGTGGGAAATGACAGTGACACCTGGAGGGGCGTGATCTGGAGGAACGGGCCCCAGCTCTGAACCCGAGTGGTGTTTCATTATTGGACTTCTGTGCAAGTCACGGATTGTCCATAATGAACACCATGTTCAGGCATAAGTATGTCCATCGGTGCACTTTGCACCAAGACACCCTAGGCCGAAGGTCGATGATCGACTTTGTAGTCATATCTTCTGATCTTCGGCCGTATGTCTTGGACACTCGGGTGAAGAGAGGGGCGAAGCTGTCCACCGACCACCACCTGGTGGTGAGCTGGATACGTTGGAAGAGGAGGAAGCCTGAAAGACTCGGCAGGCCCAAACATGTAGTAAGGGTCCGCTGGGAACGTCTGGTGGAGCCTTCGGTCAGGGATGTGTTCAACTCCCACCTCCGGGAGAGCTTCTCTCAGAGAACAAAACATCAACATAAAAACACTCATAAAATAGAGCGGCGACAATAAAAAAAAAGAAACTGGATTAAAACAGATTGAAACAAGATGGGTTATTTAAAAGCTTAAAAGCTGGGAGAAAAAGCTTACATCTCCACAAATATACCACCTAGATTTTGTGAATACTAAAACCGGCTGGTCGAGTTTTAACACAAGATTCATAATAAATTATTCTTTTTTTTATGTGGGAGGTCATGTTGGTTTTGGACTAGAAACAGGCAGATCTGACAACCCTGGCAGCGAAGCACAGGTGAAGTTGTTTAGCTATACAGAAGATAATTTTTCATAATAGAATGACGAAGGATTTATTTGAAAATCATTTTCATTTAAATAGATCTATTTTCATTTATACTTCTAAACTAAAAACTGGTCATTCTACTGTACCGGGGGCAAGCTGTGTTTCCCTGCGCCATGTGTTTCCTAGCTGGGCTGATGTGGCCATATTAGCTGTAACCCTCAAGCTTAGAGTGTGACTATCTCAGCATCACCACCCTCTCCTGTGTTTGAACTGGCTAATGGTTCAACCACAAAAACAATTCCAGACTAAATGTTCTGGAACAACCATCAATGTTTCCATCTATCTACATTATACAAAAATGAGCAAGCTCTAAAAGTATTCTCCCCAAGTCAGTTTTGAGGATTGATGCTCAAAGATTTAAAGCAGCTTTGTGGGTTCAAAAGCTCATCAATTAGGAAGGCGGATTAAATTCCCATAAGCATTGCTTTGTATCAACACCCACCTCTCTGTTATCTGTTCACTCACCCTTAACTTTTAACTGTAGATCTATTTTTTCTGTGAATTTCTCACCTCATCCTTTTCCACAGTGGCGTCATTCACTAGTCGGATATCATCGTGAACATCAAAGCTGAACAAAGGGCCTGTTAACACGGCAAAAAAGAGAAAAAAAATCATAAAATAGAACTAATTGACCTGACCATGGTTACAGAGATTTCTCCAACAAACAAGGCAATAAATTTCCCCAAACGTGTTCCGAATAATTCTGTCTCTCATTATAAATTAACACAAATGTGAAAGAAAGGAGGAGCTGGTTTCACTTATTTTCAAATGCAAACAGAACCACTAAATTGAAAACAGCCTTTTTTTAAGAATCCCAGGAACATCCAAGTTTCTGATCTCAAAATTGGAATTTCCTGTAAGCATATGCAGCTTTTTCCAAGAACAGAAGAAATTGATAAAACCTGAAGGAATGCATTTGTTTTAACATTTTGTGTCTACCGCAGATACATTTCTTGCCTGATTAAGGAAAGCAGCTACAAACTAAAGAAAGAAACAAGACAGTAATAATAAACCAATAGGAAAGATGCAGAACCTGTGACAGAGTCTGGCTGTCGAACACAATACAAGAAACAAGAAAAGCAGTAGCGTTGAAGGTCTTCTTAAACAAAACTTATTCATGTAACAATACTAACAGTTTCACTTTTTGGGGTTTTTATTTATTCACGGAAATTATCTTTAATCACATCAACAAATAAAATTATACAACTATGTACTTAAAACAATGTCCACAAAGTGAATGGTAATAAAAATCTAAATAGATGTTTAAAAACTAAATTTATGAATCTAATTATAAAAACCTTTCGTAATCACACATTTAGAACTGTTATTCCAAACACATTTTCTTTTTCAACTTGCATTCTGTTGACCTTTTCCCTTCTGGTCCCTGAGCACAATAGAAGCCAGTTTTACCAATGTTCTTCAGATGTAAAAAGCTCCCTCACTGGTCATTTTGTAAACCAAATGTGGCAATATAAAGCATCTTTGCCACTGAAAATAGTGCGTTAAACAGGGGTTTTCATCATGGGTTGACCCACTAACAATCGGTATATGACTCCCTTCCATCTGGCAAAAAAAAGCAGGGTCTGACCTGCAGCTGAAAGCGCTGCATGGCCTCTGCTCCCTTGCAGCTGCGTGTCTGATGACACCATCACGCTGTGTTAGCATTCATGATGTTACTATTGTGATAGATACCGAGAAAGTAAACAATGGAAAGAAACATGTAAGGATGCCAGCGCATGCTTTATTGTTTCGCTCTTTTGTCCCTCCGAATCCCTCCCACCAGTGCTGTACCATGTTTGTCGAATGTAAACAGGGTTCTTTTGGATTATTAGATCAGAAGCGACCTGCACAGTGTTGCGTACGCTGTGTTCTATGGTGTCATGTAATTTTGCGGGTCAACCCAGCTCTGATGTTCCCACAGCATGCGGATCAGAGCCCAGGAGATTTTAACGCAGGTCTCTTTGGCCGAGGCGTGTGAACTGGGTAGACACATGTCAGTTAGGTGTTCCCACTGCCCCTAAAAGCCGATTGTTCCTGGGTTTAAACTGGTTTTCTGGCCAGTTGGAAAGAGGTATAAGAGAGAGAACCAGCTGATAGATGAAAAGAAACATTTTTAAAAAGCTGAAGATGTGTATGGCATGTCTGACTGACCAGCATGATGTCATGAGAGTTTAACTGGTTTCAATTGTGCTCAGGGAACAGAATGGTCACGGAGAAGATAACAGAGACAATACAATTTTTTTTTTAAAAATTAGAGAATGGAAGTGAGAAATAGAATAAGGAATAACATTTTTATAAAGTTGTGATAAGGAAAGGTATTTATTCAGATTTATGAATCCGATTTATTTTGTTTTTAAACATCCATTTAGAAATTGGTTTTGAAAATACATGTTCAAATTCCCATATCTAACAATGGATTAATACATTAAATTTACAATTCCGCTTTAATAATTCCGTTCAAAATGTGCAATTAGAAAATTATTTTCAAATTGGATTGGACATTGCATGATTCAAATGTTAAATTTGAAATAGCTTACTATTAGATCCTCCATAGTAAACTGCCTCAGTCAGCTAAAACAGAGATCACATGTCTGATTGGCATTTAGCCTCTGGGATAAACCTACCTTGGTGAGCAGCTTTTCACCCCTTGTTTATATTTAAGCTTTGCTAAAATAAAGCAAAGTTAATTGTTCAAAGAGCAGAAAATGTTAACTTACCAGACTTTCCTCTGGCTTTTGTCACAATGAAGTCGTAAAAACTGTGGTGCTAATAACAAAGAAACAAGGAATGATTTAACCAAACGGACTGCCATGTTTACATTTTAAAGCCATTTGCAACCTTCTTCCTCTATGTAACAGAGAACAGACTGGGCTCACATGTGGGATTATCAGGTCCTCCTTAATATACATCAGCTGCTCCACTCCAGCAGACCTGCAGAGAAAACAAGTGATACAAAAGGGAAACATCAGCAACACACCTCACTCAACAAGACTTAAAAAAAACAGAAGAAAAAGTAAAAAAAATAAATAAAATAAAATAACAGAATAAAATCTGGGTCCTGATTTGATTAGATTCTTATATATAGAACATGACACAGAAGCTAAAAGGATCAGAACTAATGGAGCTTTTGAAACTAAATGGCAAATAAATGAATACAAAAGTGCTCTGAACATTTTTAGTCGGGAGGCTTAATTATTCTAGTCTAACATCAAATCTTTAAAAGAGAAACTAAATGTAATTTGAATTGATTTTTGGGAAGAAAACATCTAATTTTCCACTACTGATGGGGCAAAGACTCCTACAATTGATATAGTTTACCTGCAAAGAGAGAGCGCATGCGCCATGATGAATACACATCCAACTGAAAGCCTTCTGGAGATTTATTTTGAATCAATCTGACTGTATGATCTGGTGAACTGTAAAGCGCCTTGAGATGACATGTGTTATGAATTGGCAGTATATAAATAAACTGAACTGAATTGAATATTATTTAAACATAAAGGTATGCATGGGAAAGGGTCTTGTCCAGACATGCAAGAGTACTGCAAGAATTGAGCTAGCAGGACAAATATGTGTTTGAAATTCTTCTTCTGATACGAAATGTTAAAATTCAGGCAACAACGACGGAACAGCATTTGTGATTCTGATCTCAGAATCACCAAATGTGAAACATTTGAAATGGGAGGATGATGTTTAATACTTCTGAAACATTTCTGGAGGAAGATAAGTTCTTTCTTTAGCATAATGTCATGCTTTTATCAAATACAGATGGCTCTGATATTCCTGAAAAAAAAAAAAAAAAAACTTAATGGGAAAAAAGGGCAAAGAGGGACAAAAAAGACAAACGGTTCCTTTTTATATCACTTTTTTTGCAATAAAGAATTTGTGTAGTGCGTAGCTCCGCTAGGAATGTCCAAATACAGGTAAAATTTGATTTCCAATATGATACCCATTTTGCACCTTTAAGAATTGACTGATAACTATACTGACAAGCCAAAATCATAGACAGTTTTATCACATTTTGTAGCGTGGAATGAAAAACAAAACAAAACAAAACAAAAACGGTTTGATCGACTGATATTGGAGGATGACACAGGGACGGATTTTCACTAGTGTCCCATACCACTCCCACAAAGAGAGATTTAGTCATGACCCTAACACCCGAGTAAAGGAAAAAGAATGTAAAGAGTTTGAGCAGCCTTTTTAACAAACTATTTAATATTCGGGTGTATTTCTACTTCTACCTGAGTAAAATTATTAGTTCATTACTGGTAACTGTACCTCTGGTCAGCAGTATATTTGAAAACAAAGCCAAATAAAAGCATCCCCAACTTGTATTCGCCCAACCTTCCTCTCTTACATTCTGTTAAACCTAATGCTGATGCATGTCTCCTCATAGCAGCAAGCCTTTTGCAGAAATTATGGTAGCACTTAATCCTTACACCCTACCAATGCTGCTGCAATGGTGAAAACTGTCCCCAACTCTCCACACATCTTCAACCGGATATTAAAGGCTAACAAGAAAAACAAAACGACCCCTAACTTTTGCAATATCTAATGTGCAATCACTATTTAATACCCTGTGCAATAAGCCTGTATAATAATCTTGCTAAATAAGAGACTTCATGTGTCATAGTCATATAGTCATATACCCTTATGCACCTTTTCCTCCTTTTGGCACGTCCATCTCTTTGACTATCTCGCCGATGTAACAAGTACAATTCTCCACTTTGAGATCAATAAACTAATAAAAACTTTCTTTGCAGACAAAACAAATGTTAGTTCTTAATTATCTCTGGTAATTCCATCATCTTCAGGTAGTTCTTATCAGTCTGTTGGGATTTATTCAGCTATTCTTCTCCTCTGCTGTTCATCGTCTGACAGCCTGCTCTGCCTCTGCTCACTGGCCAGCTAATGAGAGCTTTGTTTTGAACATAATATGTTCTTATTTTAATCATATTTGATCTTACTTCCCTTTTATTCTTGTATCTTCCTGATCTGAGAACGATTATTCAAATCCACTTCTGTCCTACAGGATTCCTGCTGGAACCATATGACCCACTGAATCAAGAAAAATGTCATGTTCTAGTTGATATTACTCAGAGAAAAATGGTCAACAACAACAACAGGTATGAGAACAACTTGGTAAATATTTGTGCTTTTTGTATCAGCATACTAATACCTGAGACTTTGACTATATCTGATGGAGAATCCCTTAGCTCGGCCATTCTTGTTAATCACCTTCACATCGTCTTTTGTTTTTAAAACCTCTGCAGTTGGCACCAGTTCCAAGCTTAAATTGGGTCACATACCATTTCATGTCTTGACAAGCAGCCATTTGAATCCTTCTGAGGAGGGATTGTGAAATCTTTTGGTTCCTCCACTTGACTTTTTTAAAGTAGTTTAAGTCTTACTGCTCCAGACTCACCATTAAAGTCGTAGGGAAGCGGCTGTTGCAACGGTTGTATTTTCGAATTCTCCCGAGTGGTGCCCGACTTTACAAGAGTGAATAAAGTGAATGTGATTGGTTGATTATCAAGGGGCGAGATTGTTGTGGCGGCAGGTTCGCAAGCAAGTTTAGTTGTGGCCGGTGTTTCGGAAGCATCTTGCAAACAAGTTAGCAACTTAGTGCTTGTAGGTTCCCAATGGGAAATGACATTGGGACAAAGTAGCACTTAGCAACCACAGTGTCAAGGAACGCTATAGACAACAGAAACATGCAAGAGGAAGAAAGTTTTGTGTCGGAGTTTGTGGATGAGTCTCCTCCGTCATACATTTTTTATTTAGAGGAGAAAGAAGGGGACAGAGTTGTTGTGGAAGAGGACGCCAGTGTGGCAGAAGCTTAATTTGGGGTAGAAGGCTTACAGCTGTACATGTTTGAGCCCATTGCCTCGCAACGCTGCCAGTTTTGTTAGCTCTAAGCCTGCCAAAGACACAGATGTCCATCCCCGTGAAAACTGGGACGGAACTCTATGGTAAAATAAATTGATTCTTATTTCAACCGTTGCTTATATTAGCTGCGACATATGAATCAAGAGGCTATGACCGAAGAAATTTGATTGGCCGAATTTAGGTGTACAGCCTGATGTATAACTAACTGGCCTACATAAGATAACGAGAAAAAAAGAGAAATTTTCTAACTTTTGGGACAATATGGTCTGATAAAGAGTACATAATTTAACATTTAAATATGACTTCCCTACGACTTTAATGATGCGGGATGCCTTGCTTATGCAACTCATTAGACCCAACGTTTTCAAAGAAAGAACGCTTTTTTGCATTTGCTTACAGGAGTTCATGAGTGTGAATACCTGATAGAAACACTGAATCCACAGTCTTAAATTGTTTGATTAAGCGATTAACAGCCTATTTCAGCTTATTTCCGGGTTGCAAAATAATTCTTTACTTGGTTAATTTTTCAAAACTCGATTTTTTTCCTTCTTCATTTGGAAGCCCTACTAAGAACTTTCTTCAGATCCAACAGTTCAAAAGTACAAACTACATTACTAAAATAAAAAACATAGTGTTTAAACTAGTCTTGCATTTGTCTACAGCTATTGCAAAGGCCTGTTCATTGGCAGTTTATCCAAAATGCTGCTGCTCGAGTTCTGACCAGAACCAGGAAATATGACCATATAAATCCAGTGCTCTGGTCTCTCCACTGGCTTCCTGTGGCTCAGAGAATAGACCTTTAAACAGCTCTACTTCTGTGCAAGTCTTCTCATGGTTTAACACCAAAGTACATATCTGATATATTAGAGCCATATGAACCACCTTGGGCCTTGAGATCTCAGGGAGGGGTCTCCTGGTGGTTCCTAGAGTCACTAATAGACATGGTGAGGGCCCATTTCAATTTCATGCAGCCAAAGTCTGGAACAGCCTCAGTGAGGACGCAAAACAAGCCTCAACGCTGACTATGTTTAAGTCCAGAATGAAAACATGCCTATTTCGTGTTGCCAATGGCGACTGATTGTATTTTAACTACTTTTAATATATAAAATGTATTTACGTATTTACTGAATTTCTTTATTGTGTTTGTAACACGGGTGTTGCTGTGAGGCACATTGAGTTGCCTTGTGCATGAAATGTGGTGGGTAAATAAATCTACCTTGCTTAGTTCTTTTACCATCATAGTTTGGGGGTAATTAAAGTTAGAGACATGATAAATGTAATATTTATTTATTTATGAAATAAAAGGTTTTAACTATTTACTTTATGCATAATCATTTTTTCTATTAAAACATGTATTAAATAAAAACACTTGCAAAGAAAAACTAAAAATATTTTATTTTCTGCATTTTTTTTATTTTCTCAGTTTTCTTAAAGTGCAGGATAAAATAACCTTTTCAACTGTTCCCATTGGTCTTTAAACAGACATTTCTTTTCATTGAATAACGTTTCCAGAAAAAGGATCTTTTCATCCTGCTTTAACTCTGTCAATTACAGTTCCATCAATGGATGGAAATGTTATTTTTCAGAACATCTTTTCACTTATACTCTTTTATCCAAACATTCCTCTGGCTAAACCCACCTGAGCTCACTGAAGTCCTTCCTGAGGACCTCCAGGGCCTTCTGCAAGAAGTTCTGGATGGTGTTCCCCTTCTTCATCTGCAATATAAACACACACAGAGGATTTTACTCAGAGCCAGAAGATTTCCCTCTCTGAACTTATTTCAATAGTGGTGTTTTATTAGTAATCTGTTCTGCCAGTTAGGCTCACATGTTATCAAAATACTTTCTAATTTTTCAGAACAGTGGGAAGAGACAGTTTGAGGAAACACCACAATCAGCTTTAATATAGACACTGGGCTTATTTCAATCCATTTCTGGAATAAAATAAATGTAGAAGTCAGTTGGGTAACATCCCCAATGTCTAATAATTATAGCCTGTCTGATGGGACACAAACATAACTCGTTGACCTACTTTCAAATCTGTTGGTTTGTGACAGTTCTGGATTTTATTTGTGCCTCAGAACAAAATCAGGTAAAACCCAGAAATATTCCTTTGAGGAGTCGTTCAGTCTTTCTGCACTGATGGCTGTATGCAGGCATTCATGGTTATATCTGCCATGAAAGTTAATAAAGAATAAGTTTAATTTTAACTGATATGACAAAAAGGTTGAAAAAAATTGAATCAGTCGAATAGTTTAGTGTTTTCCTCTGTAAATTTTATTCCAAACAGAGCCTCATTTGAAAAGTATTCACATTACTTTTCTTTTTCCACATGTAGTTTTGCTAAAACTTTTATCAAAATGTATTTATTTCCTTAAAAACTCAGAAGACATCACCCCATAAAAGCATTTTAGAAGATACTTCTATCTATTAAAATCCAGAATTTCTGCTGCATTCATCTTACACTATGTGCATTGCATGATGCTGCCACCGCCATGCTTCACTTAAGGAAAGCAGCTAACAACTTAAAAAGTTCAAGTAATTTAACATCCACTGAAAAAAAAAGTTTTCCTCCAAAAATGGGACGTTGTATCCACACCAAAGACCTTTATCATCAATTGGGACTTTCAAATCCTTAAGAAAATCTACATCAGGTAGACTGGAGGTCTACAGATAATTCATTCATCTGTAAGGAAATGACTTCAGGTGGACACTAATTGAGCCTTAGGAAGATATTAAGGATAATCTTCGAGGCAAAGGCTGTGTACACTGCTGCACATGTGATGTTATAGCTTTCTCATCCAGGTCATAGTCATTCCAAAAAAAATTTAAAACAATCCACTGGACTTGGTTTCCATGTGTGAAGACATTTCGCTTCCCATCCAGGAAGCTTTTTCCAATTAAAAATGTCAGGAATAGCGTTGAGTTCGAGGTTTTATATAGTTCAATCTGAAAAACTCACATGAAGAAAAAGACAATTAGGAGAAATTTATTGATACAATTACATTGTCTTTGGCGCTCAGACCTTGGCAGGAAACATAGCACTTAATTTTGATAGATATGCATGAACAGAGCAAGGTCTGAAACTGGTGGTGGAGTGGAGACAGATGAAGTTGGTCAGTCTATAGACTGCTGGTTAGCGAGACGGTACGTTGAGCTTTATGGGGAGATCCAGTAAGCTACTTGAGCTGATACTAGAGCTTCACTCTGGGACCTGGAAGATGGGAGTCCAGTTGGATAACACAGGTTGAGAGAACCTGTCCATGATGAGCAAGAATTAGGCGACAGTGGAGAGGAAAAACTCCTTGTTGGGAAGAAACCTCTGGCAGAACCAGGCTCAAAAGAGTAAGAGTCCGGGAGGAATGACACTGATGAAGCTTTAGCTACGAAGGTGGAGGAGGGGTTAAAGGTGGGTTAAAATTGTGTCATCTGAATCAAGTCACAAAGCGCATCCACTGCCTGCCCAAAGAAGCAGAGAAAAACAGATCAGAGGCCTTTTAAGATGAACTTTGGAAGCCGATTGGCGTTCATGGAGGTGTGGTTCAAAGATGATTGGCTGTGTCACAGGTGAATGAAGGTAAGCAATGAGTTTTTTTCAGTTGAACTTTGGCCTAGGCCCCATTAGCCCAACAACGCCTTGTTTTTATGTTGAACACATGCAAATTAGAACAAGCAAAGGGGTCCACCCATTTGGAATGGGAGTCGTTGAAGCCCTGCTACTGTATAAAACCTCGAACTCAACGCTATTCCTAATATTTTGAATTGAAAAAGCTTCCTGGATGGAAGGCGAAAAATTTCCAAACTTGGATACAAAGTCCAGTGGAATGTTTTAAAGTTTTTTTGGAATTCTGTTAAGATGTGATGTTTGAAGACTTCATCCCTTTTGGAGAAAGGCTGTAACGTTTCCACCCTACTAACAGGTTTTTATCCCGAAAGATGAGGTGAAAACTCAGACAGTAAATGAATAAGGCAGGAAATTCCTGAATAATATTCCTTCAGTTTAAATCCACCCTGAATTTACCTTGACAGTCTTCCGATGGCCTGAGCCGTCCCAGTAGCTAAAGGTAATTTCAATCTCCTCATCTAAAGGCAAAAGTTAAAAAATATGGTGAAACTCAGGACTAGGAGGTGGGTCACACACCACAGTAAAAATCTATTACTTACTCTTGATCTTCTCCTGTTTCAGCTCCCACTCCTGTCTCAGCTCTTCTCTCAGGCGGTTCTCCTCCTCCTTAAGAGTAAAAAAGCAAATAAAAAAACAAAAGCTTCAAAAAATAAAAAAAACGGTTTAGTCCAAACTTTTATGTTCACCAACAGTAATCTTTTTGGACAGTCTGACAGCTCATAAAGCTTTATCACAGCCAACTGAAAGCATAAACCTGACCTCTCTGTCTCTATCTGGCAGGAAACTTGTATCCACATCTGGATTTTTGCCCAGTTTTTTCTTCTTTACTGGAACATCTGCAGAGATCATAAAACAACATTTAGCTCAGCAGGTTTTGATCTGGACTTTTTATGACAAGAATACATCCACTATATATTTATATTTAAGTATTCACGCTTTAGGGACATAACACTTCTTAACGAGTCAGGCTGCCCATCGGAGTTAAGACAGGTCCAGTTAATCTGGGAAGACTGTTTTAGGGGAATTTATAAGCCTTCATGGTCAAGAAGTTGCTCTACTCAATTTCAAAGTAGTTTTCCCCAGTTGAGGTGAGAACCCTGCGGTGGTTAAACTCTTCCAGACTTTACTGGCTCATCCATGCTTTGTATTCCGGTGTAAAGTCCCATTTTGAACAAAAAGCAGTTCAGCCAAACAAAGAGCTAATGTGAAGGATAATGAAAGTCTGAATAGAACTATGAAAAAAAAAAAAGGGTTTTGAGCATGCTTTCTTAGTGATTGTTTATACATATTTTTCATGTTTTCCGTTTTACAGAATTTACATTTTCTAATTTAGTTTGTTTTTCCTTCAAATTTCTGCATTATGATCTTTACATATTTCAGATTACATTCGCTTCCCTTTCCATATTTCAATTAAAAGAACATATTGTTTGCTTCTAACAATAGAAGAAAATTCACTGCAAAAGACAGGAGTTAAATAGCATTGATCTGTATCGTTTTCTAAGCAAGCATTAATCTCATGATATTTATTACCAGATCAGCATTATTTCATACTTTATTTAGTTGCCCTCTTTTTAGCAGATGTGTTTTGCAAATATGTTGAAATAACAAGTTACAGAGTTAAAAAGATTTTCCTCCAAAGGTTCCCAATCTGTGATTTTCTTCTTCTGCATCACTGTGATATTTGATTATAATGAGAAGGAAAGTTTGACGAAACAGAAATTCCAGCTGCGCATAAGGTGATCTGTCTCATATGCAGGTAAGTTTGGTAAGTTTACACAATGAGCATGCCTGTGTTATGGAAGCAATGGCCTCAAACCACTTGTAAGAAAGGTAAGAGCCTATTTGCAATGATACCAGTTATTAGGGTGTGTGACTAAAAACAGCTCTGAGCTGTTTGAAAACAGCAGCAGAGTTCGACATGGGTGAAATCCTAAATCTCATTTTATTTTCTTTTTTTTTTTTTTACACAGCTGTAAAAACAGTGTGTTCAGCACAAACTGCAAGCTGACAACATACTAGATGAGGTATTAGAAGACACAGCTGTTTACAACTTTTTTAAAGTCTACATTAGCAGATATTCAAAATGGTCCTTCCCAGTCAAACGCCAACCGAATGGCAGCAGACTTCCCTGCAACTCCCAGCAGAATCCCCTCCAACTTCCAGCCACTGGAGTGGAGAAGATCTAAATGTTCACAAATCATGACCAAAAAAATATTTTAGTACAAAGATTGCTGTTCAAAAAGGAATTGTAGGGGACCAACCAAGGACCAGCAAAGGAAAGTGGGGAAATTTTGAATGGCTGAATGAAGTGATAATGATATTTTTTAGCTAAATTACAGAATCTCTAGATTTTTCATTTGTGAACTGTCGCCAGTAGGAGCTGTCATGATTTTCAGTGCGGCTGTCCTTGCAGTTACAAATTTTCCTGGGTGCATGATGCAGAGATTTTGTCCACATCAAACATAAACCAAGCTTAACAGGTTAAGCAGGAATAAACTTCATCTGTGTTGTTATTTTATCAAGAAATAGCTTAGTGTTAAATCTGTGTTGAAGTGAAATGGACCCAGGTTAGATTCAGCTGCTTCAGGACTTTTAGTGAAAAACAGGCTTCATCCTTTGCCTTCAGATGTGTGTAATCGGTAATGTAACATTAAAAAATACTCACAATCCTGATCTTCCTCTGAATTTTTGTCATCATCATCCTCTTCAAAATCATCATCATCTTCTTCCTCCTCTTCTTCATCAGGGTTAAAGGATAAACTGGCAATTTTTCTTTTTTGCTCCTCCTTTCTCTTCTTTTCTTTCTGTTTCTCAAGCTTTCTGTAAAAAAAGGGAGAAAAACAAACATGAAGTCAGTTGGTTTTCACAGGGCTGTAAACTAAACATTTGTGATGTTTAGTTTTAAATGACCTACAGAGTCTCCAGAGTCAAAATGGGTTACCTTCTGTGTTTAAACCTCCTAATGTGGAGACTTAATATTTAGTTTTTTCAGCCTGAATGACCTTCAGGACTTTGCAGGCTAATGGAGAAAATATGAAGTATGTATGAATATGTGGCAGGTTCTGGTCCAATAAGTAAATCCAACCATTTAGTTTATTGGAGAAATTAATCTTTCAGGACGGTTTGTGTTATCAAGAAAAATATATATATTAAAGAAAGAAAGTCAAAGATCTGTGTGTGAAATAGTAATGGGAAATCATTGGGTGTAGCTCATAATTTATTTATTTATTATCACTACTGCTTACCTTATAGAGGCTGCATTTTAAAAAAATGAAATTGTCTAGAGAGCTGTTCTAAATGAAATGTCTTTTTGTTTACACTAGTGTATACAAAATGACAAAATAAAATCTGTCTAAGTATCAGTCTAAATAAAGAAACAGTTGATTCTCTGAATGTCAAATGGCTCTCCTGGTTCTCTTATTTACTCAAATGCAGAGGTGTCAAGTAACAAAGTACAAATATTTTGTTACTGTACTTAAGTACACTTTTTAGGTATATATACTATTATCCATTACTTATTTTTCTTCCTACTTCTGACTTTTACTCATTACATTTTTACACAAGTATCTGTACTTTTATTTCTTATTTTTTAAAAACAAATGTTACTCGTTACTCTTGGCTTCAGTGTAATGTTTATAAATATTTATTTCACGCCATGTGCTCCATCCAATGCAGATCATTGGCGCCATCCACATCTAGTGAAAACTAGTGTCATTAGATGAGTCATATAACGCAAACACTCATTGGTTAGCTAAAGGAAATCATCAGAAGCAAGCAGGTGTTCTTCAAACTGCAAACGTGAATTGTCTATGCCATGCTACAATGTCGGATTCAGAAAAATATGTTGAAATGTCTGAAAGGTCGGACACAGGCGAGAGTGAATTGGGAGATGGAGACGGAGACAAACAAGACCTCCCTCATCCTTGGCCCTATATCAAACAATTTTTCAAAATAGTCGGAAAATTGAGCTTTCAATTCATATAGTGGCCTCTGGCTGTTTTTTTAAAGTTACTTTATAATCTTATACTTTCAGTAGTTTTTAGAGCACATACTTTTGCCAGTGTTTTTAAAATGCAGTATCTATACTTCTATTTAAGTAACAAATGTGTGTACTTTTGACACCATTGCTCAAATGTAATAGTTGCCAACATAAATTTAGATTTACACAAATTAAGAAATAAATATGCAAACCTACAACGAGGCCATGGAGCCAGGAGGCAAAAATTATCAATCATCGCCTAAATCCAGCACTCACCTCATTCACACTGCATAAATCTTAAGCTGTAGCATTGAACGAGGCTATTAGGAAACCATCTCCTTTTGACATAGAGCCCGCCAACTGCTCAACATCTTGGTTCTTCGTTTTCCAGCTATTCTTTTGCAGATTGAATTGCACAATTTGGACCAAGATGCAGATTATAAAGTCAAAAATCTGCCAAAAGCCCAAACACCCTGTTAAATACTCATGAGTATTTTATTTAAAACAGGTGCATGTAAAATATGTTTTGAATTGTCTATGTGTGCAGATGCAATACTGCGAGGCACCAAATATATCACATCCATGAGTTAATGCTCCTTCTCTGTGCTCATGGAGCTCTGATAGATTCTCTCCTAGGTGGTGGAACCAACCTGAGAAAGTCACCTGCATGCCAGTGGCTACTTTTCAGAAAATCCTGCTTTGTGAGAAAGTAGTGTAATGTTTTCTTCCTAATTGCAGCAACTAAAGTTAGCTAAGCATCTATAGGATAATACGTGCTCTTAAGGAGTTCAGTGAAGTCTTCACTAAATAACTTAGTTTAACAATTTGATCTAAAAGCAGTAGCAATATGCTCTAAAATTATTAAAGTTTCCATTTTTGAAACTTCATATGAGCTAAACTAACATTAGCTTCACTATTTATTAGAAGGAAAGTGAGGATTGAATGAACTCCTGTTTATAGCTGAACACAGGCATTTGAAAAGCAAAGAATTTAACTTAATTGATCTCACATTGAAGAAATTTACCTCTGCTTTTAACCCATCCCCTTGGGGAGCAGTGGGCTGCTATTGTGGGGCGCCTGGGGAGCAGTGTGGGAGTTAAGGGTCTTGCTCAGAGAAAAGTAGCCAATCACAGGCAGTTTGTTCTAAGTTTGGTTCCAATCTCCCCTAAGAGTAACAAAAGTTGACACAAGTACAAATCAACTGGTCTACAGCAAGTAGGAGAGCATCTGCATGTGAATAAAAGGTAAAAGAGAGCAGAGAAGAAGCATGAACTTAAGGCTGATATATTTGGGGCTCTATGGCATTAAATCTGCACACATAAAATGTTTAAATGTTCATAGAGTGTAGTTTACATGCATGCATTTTAAATATAACTGCTCATATCTATTACACATATGGAGTTTTGGCAGAGTTCTGACTTCAGAGTCAATGGCATGACACTGGAGCAGAGAACACTTTGTTATAGCCAGGAGTTATGCTGATGACACGCAGCTATATCTGCCCACAAATCCAGATGAAACTAACCAATTACATAGACTAAAAGTATCTCTTGAACACACAAATTAAAAATATCCTGTCCAGGGGTGATGCTGAGAAACTAGTCCATGCATTTGTTACTTCGAGGCTGGACTATTGTTATTCTTTACTATCAGGAAGTCCACAAACTGTAGTTAAAAGTCTTCAGCTGATCCAACATGCTGCAGCCAGAGTTCTGATGAATATTTAAAAGATAGATCATATTTATCCTATCCTGGCTTATCTTCATTGGCTTCCTGTTACAGGGGAACACCGTTTTTTTTTTTTTTTTTGCATTGGCCCCTTGATTTTACGTTATTAAACAAGTAGAACATCATGTTCTACTTACCCGTATTAGTTTTGTGTCATTTGGAGCTGTTTTTAAGATATTCCGTTATATCCAAGTAACGTCTTCCTATGGGCTACGAGTTGAAGACACAAACTAAACTGTTCATAATTTATTCTTTATGGTACGCCAGCATTCATAACATGTAGGCGAATCACAGTCCCCCAGACATCCGCGGTTATATTTTTTATATTTATATTTTTCAAAACCAAAGCGGCGCATGTATGACCTCATCTGCACGCGCAGGGTACCATCCATTCATCCTGTCCGCTGAACTGCGGCTGCTTTTACCCACATTCCTGGAAGATGTCTAGTGCTACTACCACAGATGATCTTGCTGTTGAAATGGAATTGAACAATTCAGATTAGCTAGCCGAATTAATAGAAGGGGTAGAGCGTAGCCGCCTGTGGCCCGGGCTGCCTGTCACAACTCCAGTCCGGCGCGCGGATGACTGTCTGGGGGACAGTGATTCGTCTACGTGTTATGAATGCTGTTGTGCCATAAATGATAAATTATGAACAGTTTAGTGTGTGCCTTCAACTCGTTTCCCAAAGGAAGACATTACTTGGATTACAAAACCGAATATCTTTGAGACAAAACTCATATGTATGAGTAGAACGTGATGTAATAACGTAAAATCATGGGGCCACTGTAAAAAAAAAAAAAAATGGTGTTCCCCTTAAAATCCAGAATAGAATTAAAAATCCTCTTTCTCGTATATAGAGCCTTAAATGGCCAGGTTCCATCTTATATCAGAGATAGGATTGTTCCTTATGTTCTTAACAGAGCACTTCACTCTCAATCTCCGGTTTACTAGTGGTTCCTAGAATTTCTAAAAGCAGAATGGGAGGCAGATCATTTAGATATCAGGCTCCTGTCCTGTGGAACAAGCTACCAGTTTCAGTCAGTGAGGTAGACACTAGGGGTGGAACGGTTCACAAAATCCACGGTTCGGTTCGGTTCACGGTTTCATGGTCACGGTTTTCGGTTCCGTATATGTTCATTGTTAGCCTGACATGTTGGTCGTGTTGCTGTTAGCTTGTTGTTAAAAAATGTGTTAAAAAACGTGTTGCACAATGCTTGCACACTGTTTTTATCAACAACTTTCTTTCCGCCGTCATCGTAGGTCAATAGCACACCGGTCCCATACAGCAGACCTATAAAATGCTGCTGGCGCGTCTTCCAACTCCTGTTCTTTCCCACTCGCCATACCCACACAATTCTCCACAACAACTGATTTTTTTCTGCTACACCCGGCTACGCTGCTTCGTTTCTTCTTCTTATTTACTACTGGTGGTTGGCTTTGGTCGCAGTACCGCCACCTTCTGCTCTGGAGTGTAAACGCTTCGCCTATGAGAAAAAGGAGCAGCGCATGAACCGAACGCAACACACGCGAATCGAACCGAGACAGTCGAACCGAACAGTTCGGACGGTTTTCATAAACCGTTCCATCCCAAGTAGACACCCTGTCTACTTTTAAGGGTAGGCCTACAACATTCCTTTATGATAAAGCTTATAGTTAGAGTGGCTTAGATTATCCTGAGCTATCTCTATAGTTATGCTGCTATCAGCTTAGACTGCTAGAGGACATAGAGACCCCTTTTCCCAATTCTGGTTCACTCAATATCTGTTCCCCCATTCTGCGGTATTTGTTAGTTCAAACTCAAACACTATACTCTCACTGCTGTTTCCCATCATAGTAGCTTCATCTGGTCTGTTCCTGTTTGATTGCGACACCATCCCAGAGAGAAACATCAGTTGTGATGCTGCTTTCAACACCTTTTTTATAGATGTTGGAGCGTGGCCTGTTTTTTAATGTAGTCCTGTTTCTCATGCAATATGACTGCTAAACCAATCCACATCATCACCTCTGCATAACTATACTTGACAGCTGGAGTAAGGTATTTGTGTTTAATGCTGTGGCAGACTTTCTTTTTTTGCCTTGACCAATCATATTTCCTTTGGGCGAAGCAGTTGGTAGCACTGATTTTTTTTGTTTCACAGCCTTTATATTTTAACTGAAACTGAAAGTTTAATAGAAAATGCTATGCAATAAGGCAGATTAGAGAAAAATATTTAAAAAAAAACTGTTCTATTTACTTGAAATTTACATCTGATGTGTAACTTCAACTTCACATATTTAAAGAGCAACATTGGGAGCAAAATAAAAAAAATATTGTAAACAATCTGGGCACTAACATTTTCAGATTTAGTTATTGGGGCCTATACCTAAAGAATAAAAAATCAAAATAAAAAAACAGTAGACAACACACGCAGGACTTTGCAGTTCTGTTGCTTGTGGATGTCAGAGATCAGACAGATTAACATTTAAATAAAAATGAGTTGCCTCACAGCTGAAGCTCTTTGGACTGCTCCTTCTTGGCCAGTTGTTTTTCTCTTTCCTTCACCAGCGCCTCCTGTTTGGCCTTCATGTCATTTAGGGTCACCAGACCTTTTTCAGACATTGAATAAGAGAAAAAGACAAAAACAAAGATTAATACCAGTGCCCGCTATAAATTAAATCCTTTCTACAATATGAGCAAATTTGTCAAACATACCAACAGTGCTGGATTTGAGCTCAGCTTCCACAGCATCGTAGTGAGCAGAGAACTTCTTGTCAATGTTGGCCTTGACCATGTTGTCCTGTAACAATCGTATGAGAACGTTAGAATGATGAGATTAAAAACTTTACATTTATTTCCCATGGAATGCAAAGCACTCATAAAAGTTTAAGTGGACATCATCGACCTCCATTCACTCACAAAATATTTGGACGAAATCTAACCCATAAAAACAATCAACTGTACATTAGGATGATTGCAATAAAAATATATATATATGGCCGATATTTGCAGCCAAATTAGAGCAAAACTTTAACGACCCATAAGGCGCCTAATCAGCACGTAATATTTTCAAATATGGATATCAGTAGTAATGAAAACACTCAGATCTGATGTGCATTTTAATTTAATTTAGTCATATATTACTTCCTGAACACAACATTAAATGCCCTACCTTTATTCTAAATAAATGTTTGAGTTTTTTTTCAATTTGAATTTGCATATTTTTCTCAATGCAATTTCCTTTTCTAAAAAAAACTATTTTAAATTAGATCAAAATTGTATTCAAATTGTTCAATTACAAAAAGAAATGAAATGATCCTGGTCCAACCTTGTTAACTTGCAGAAACACCCCTGCTACTGGTAATATTTCTTTACGGATATCAGGTTGCAACAATGCCCTAAATATAAAAAAAATAATTGATTTATTCACATTAGAATTCAAATACAGAACGTACGGGGCATCGCTGAGACCAAAATAAGCGAGTGCGATAAGTCCAAAACATGGGTGATCACATCAATCAGCCCAATATCAGCCTGGCTAAATGTGATCAGTTAAAATATAAATTAATAACAACTATTAGATTAAGGGCTGAAACAAGCCTTCTAGACTACAGCAATATAAGGACTATCAACGTATCTGATTACATGATACAGTAACCCTGTATTCAGCATGCGCAAATGACCATGTTTATTGATTTTATTCATTTAACGTTAGAGAGAAACATGCCAAAGTAGACTGAGGTTGGATTTAGTAAATGATTGTTTAGACAAAGATGTAAAAATAACGTCTACTGCGCTTCCAACCTCGGCAATCTTCTGTTTGAGTTGTTCAAGTTGCTCTCTCTCCTTTTCTCGTTTTTTCATCAGCTGCATGGCTCTGCCCGCTTCGCTGGCGGCTCCTTTGTACTGCGCCATGTTGATATCTTTGTCTTTGAAGTTCTCCCGGAATGGTCAACAATAAGCAGGTAACAAATTAAAGATGTCCGGGTTCAGAAAAGAACTAGAGATTTTTCCAGAACTGCGAAGAAACTGCACACCATAGCAACAAAAATGGCGACGGCACAGTGCATGCTGGGTAGTTACGTGCTGCTCATAAGAAGAGGCAGCACGTTGACGCAGCTACCATGTTGGTCAGGCAGAAAACCCAACTCTATTATAAGATGTTTTTAAAATGTTTATTATTCTGATTTAATAAATTCGAGTGAATTAACACCAATATACTGAATACACTACATACATCAACTCTTTTTGTCATATGTCTATATAAAAATTATCTATTTGCTTGATTTCTAATTATTAGATGTTAACAATGTGCTGATTAGGATGCCCCTGAAATGCCAGAGTGGTGTGATTAATTTCATGTTATTTTTGTTGTATTTCTCCAGAAGAATTATAAGACTTCTCAAACAGATGGGAAGAGGAGGTAATATATGTCAGTAGAGTGGTTGTGCTGCCCCCTAATTATAGGTGTTCATAGAAGTAATTAGCAATGGGATTGCGCATTTTTCAAGAGTTCGGCATTTCACTCATCCTGCAAAGAAGAGGGCCTCTCTGCCTTAAATGTGGTACATTTAATTGAAAACAGCAATAGCCTTTGCAACTAAAATATATGAGATTCAATATTTCGAGAGTTGTGTCTAAGCAGTTATAGACTGGCTTGTAAAAAATTCACATTATTGTTAGTACTTTTTAAAAATACACCACGAGTCTGTATTGCTAGAATAATGTTAGCTTAAACCGCTGAATATCGGTCCTCTTCCAAAATGATGCAGTTGGGTTGAGTTGTGTCAGTGACATAACTCACTTCCACTTGTGAATATTTTAAACATAATATATATTTTTAAACTGAACATTGTATTCTTACATTTTATGGCTCAAACTATGTTTTATTTTTGTAATTTTAGACCACAAATAGGTATGCATCACCATGACACCTAGTTAGAGAAAGATGGATTATAAAAACTGCGAAAGAAAATGTATTCTACCTCTCACACCTTACAATATTTAAACAAAACTGTCTATTACTCATTTAAAAAAAAAAAAAAAAAACTGCCTTGGCAATACAATGGATGGATGGATGGATGGATATACATAAATTCTGGTAAAACAGTAACGAAAGCGATCTCAAAACTCATAAACCAAGACATCATCATGGGAAGAACTTCCAGAAACAATTCAATTCAATTTATTTCTATAGCGCCAATTCACAACACACATCATCTCAAGGCCCTTTACAGTTCACCAGATCATACAGTCAAATTGATTCATAGTTTTCTATCCAAAGAAAACCAGTCGATTGCATTGACTTATGGTCTCGGATGCAATCCCTCACACTAAGCATGCTTGTAGCAACAGTGGAGAGGAAAAACTCCCTTTTAACAGGAAGAAACCTCCAGCAGAACCAGGCTCAGTGCCGAGGCCATCATTCAATAAAGTTTCAGAATCATATTCCCATTCAAAAGGGTTATAATTCATGATAAAGATCATGACCCAACAATGCAAAAGGATAGACCAAACCTAGAAGAGGCCTTGTAAAATATCCCTTTTTCACTCTCAAAGAAAGTAATGGTGATATTCTAATATATAAGACAATAAGACAACTCCTGTACCATTAAAAACTTGGTGTTACAGCCAGAAGGCAGGAACAATTTATACTTCCCTCCAACATCAACAAGTGAGATGTTATGTGCTATGCTTTAATAAAGTTCGACTTGCACTGAACATATGTTTATGCGACGATAAAAAAATATTTTGAAGTGATGTTGTGGTGCAATGGGGTGTAGAAATACGGTAACAAAAACATTAAACAAGTAATTCCTTGCTACATTTCTATGGCTTTGGTTTCTAGGATCAACATATATTGTTACCCAGATATCCAGAATCATCAACGATTAGTCAGACCGAGACTGCTGCTTTTGCGACACATTTCTCTTGAGTTTCAGAACTTATAGAGCCAGACTGGATAAGAAGCTGGCTTGCTGTGAGCTACTGAGACAAAGAAACCCCTGGTTGTTGACTGACTGCTGAGCTGTTGCTGGATGAAACTCAAGCCTTCCAAATTGAAATGGAAAAAAAGGTTTGCAGGTCTGGCATGATTAGGGACAAAACAAAGATGGTAAAGAATCATTTGACTAAAGGTTTTTGGTTCTTGATTAAGCAAATCATTTAATAAAACATTATTTGGCCAAATAATGTGTTATTCACTAGTTTTAGTTAAGAGTGTTAAACTGAAATATGTTTGACTTGGAGCTGAATGATTTTTGTTAATAAACCCTTATATTTTGAAGAGAAGTTGTGGTGAATTTATTCCATGTATGTGCAGAATTAGCTGTTTGACCATGATTTGTGCTCCAATCACTCTTATATTTATTGTTCTAACATACAGCTAGTAGGGAGTGTGTTCATAAACAGTATATAACAGCCGAAATAATATCTGATTAAATAAGATATTTTAACACCCCTACCAGGGGCCACAAGACCACTTTCTTTTTTTGTAAAGTATCTTTCTTATTCTTATATATTGTTTGTCTCAGAACTGCCATGACTGTTTTCAAGGTCACACCAAATCCTGAAAAATAAGTACATATTTTTGGAAGCCTTACTTATTTGGATAAAACCACTTAACTTAAAAAAAATGGCACAAATAACCAAGCTCTTTGCCATATATTAATTTGTTATATATATTAAAAGGAAATCAGAGGCAATTTTCATTTTAACATATGAGACAACCTTTAGTCAGAAGGTGGCATTGTGTGATAATAGCAGAACAATTAGTAGATAAGTTCAGAGAATTGCATCGTTGTCAGAGTTTAAAAAATATATGGTATTGTACTTAATGTGCTGATTGTTCCAAATAAAATGTGGGGAGGTTGGGCTTATAAATTAAAGACCATGTCAGCAGCATTTGTTTATGAAAAATTGATAACCAACTTGGAAGTTTCTCCATTCCTGATGAGGTTTTCAATGGTAAAAGTTATACAAGAAAAAGCAGCAGGATCACAACTAGATTTCAAAGTGCAGAGAAATACAATATTCTCTCCATAACCAGAGATACCATGAAAGCTCTCAGCCAAAGAGGGACTGCCAACAACTCCTTAAGTCAGGGGTGCTCAAACCCAGTCCTCAAGAGCTACTATCCTGCAGCTTTTTGATGCACCCAGTTTTTACCACACCTGAATCAAATGAGTGGCTCGTTACTATGCCTCTGCTTGGCTTAATGAGGGGATTGAGCCTTTCGATTCAGGTGTTAGAGAAGAGATGCATCTAAAAGTTACAGGATGGTAGCTCTTGGGGACTGGACTTGAGCACCCCTGCCTTAAGTAGACCAAGTCCACTCAGCTCTGCTGCGCCCTCCGATGACCATCACCTGGAATTGAAGTACTAAACAGCACCACAGATCCTGACAATCAATCCACTCCTCCTTGTATATGTTTATATATATATATATATATATATATAGTACTATATTATATAGTACTTTTTTATATATATATGTAAGATATTCCTTGTACACCATCAAATATTTAGTTTGAACTGTAATTTTAGATACATCATATATGAAGAATAAAAAAGCTCCAGTGCCTGTTCTGAAAAAAAAAATGTGTTTCCCCAGTTAATATCCACATAATTCATAATTGCCATTATTAAATCCATTATCATATGTTTTGGGTTTCATAATGGAAAGCTTTCACCATTTGCAGTATTTGTGTAGCTTTTTGGAGCTTTAATGCCCGTGTTTTTCTCATACTGAAGTTAATAAAGATGACAGATATCCAGATTCAGTATAGCACTCTGGAGCTCATTTCCTTCCTGGATAATTTTCATACTGTTGACCGGCAAAAGCTGAAAAGAGGACTGGTACTATGGAATAAAGAGGTAGGTCTCTGTCGAAGTATATATGTTTCAGAAGTTTATTGTAACAGATATACAGACAGTAACTTATTCAAGTAATAAATAAAAAAAATGATAAAGACTGAAAAAACAAAATAAATTACTAAGACAAAAATGGATAATTAAATAGCAATACAAATGGGATGAGACAATTTTTACTTAAAAAAAAAAAAAAAAGGGAATTAATTCCTTTTGAATTTAATAAAGGTTCACCTTGAGTCAATTGTCTCATGTCTGGAGGTCTCACAGATTGGAAAGGAGGACCATCTTCTCTAAATAACTCCAACAGAACAGATGGTATAGAAAATAAAATGCTATGTTCTATTTTTTTAGCACCAGAAGCATTGTACTTCAAGATACTCTATGTAGGTGCAAAGTAGTCCTTTGCTGCTGAAATGTTGACTCACAAAATCAATGCCATTTTTAAACTACTATTGCAGAAATTAAGACTTATGTTTGTACAAAATATTACTGTTTTTAATAACAGACAAAGCAAGGGATACTTGTTTGCAAGGGTCAAACACGTCCTGGTTCTTTTAATCAAAGAAAGAATTCCCCTGAAGCCATACCCAGTGCACTGATCTTTTTAAGACTGTAAATATACAAAGATCACTATTTCTAAATAGCTCACCTTTTGGGCTGTTAGTGATTATTACCTCTACATATACTTATTTCCTTCACGAACCTTGAAAACAAGATAGCAAAATGTTATGATAATACTCAAGACAGCCCAGGTAACATTGGTTTGAGAACAATAGAAATAGACAAAGAGTAAAAAAGAGTAAGTGTCTTTGCACCAATAAAAGAAGCAGATTTTCAAAGAATATTTGATATTTTCTACCCTTGGATGTTAGTTTATATTCTTTTACTTCTTTTGTACCATTGTTTGTCTTTGTGTTTCTATTTCGTATCCTACACAGGTTAATGTGATTTGCATTAACAATGGCATTAGTAATTCTACCAAGAAGTCAGAGGATAACCTGGAATTTCTAATGTGTTACATGGAGAGGGCTCTGCTGGTTCATAGTCAGAGGCAGGATAGGGCGAGAGGCAGGATAGCCTAATATAGAGTCATACATAAAAGTAATTACATCTAAAAAAAAAAAAAAAAGATGAAATTAAAAGAAGTTTTCTCTACATGTGTTGGAATATTAAAGTATA